GTAATACAGACCCAGCCAGTGGGATCTATGAATAATCTATTTAGTGACCATAAAGAGAGTAGTACTAAAACGATTTCTCAGTTCAACCAGGTGAAGTTCAGGAAGGACACAGGAACGCAAGGGAGGAGAATCTGGTGCTGTTTTGCACACCCAGGGGTTATGGTCTCCTGTGATCAATTTGTAAACAGTAAATTGCTGGCCAGATCTTTTTTTTTTTTTTTTTTAACTAATTTATTTATTTGAGAGCGAGAGAGAGAGCTCTAGCACGCGCACGCACACAAGTGGGGGAGGGGCAGAGAGAAGGAGAGTCCGAATCCCCAACAGGTTCCATGCCATCAGTGCAGAGCCCGATGAGGGGCTCGAACTCAAGAACTGTGAGATCTGACCTGAGGTGAGATCAAGAGGTGAATGTTTAACCGACTGAGCCACCCAAGCGCCCCTAGCTGGCCAGATCTTTTTTGAGTGTGGCTGTCTCTCTTGTGCCCCTGGATTCCACATTAACAGTCACGATACTTTTATGTAATAATATTTAAACAATAATATGTAAACTTCATGGTAAAATATTTTATTTAAAATTTTTTTTTAATGTTTTATTTATTTTTGAGACAGAGAGAGACAGAGTATGAATGGGGGAGGGTCCGAGAGAGAGTGGGAGACACAGAATCCGAAACAGGCTCCAGGCTCTGAGCCGTCAGCACACAGCCCGACGCGGGGCTCAAACTCATGGACCGTGAGATCGTGACCTGGGCTGAAGCCGGACGCTTAACCGACTGAGCCACCCAGGCGCCCCTGGTAAAATATTTTAAATGTTGATGATCATGTGCATTTGCAGTTGTGGTTCCAGAGTTCTTTCATGAGATCCTCAGCTTTATTGGGGGCAGGGTTATTATTCCCGTTCTAAAGAGGTAAAAATCGAGGCTCAGAGCTTAAGTGACAAACTCAGGGTCACACAGAACACGAAGGTGCTGAGGCTCACCAAGGCTTTACCTTGCTAGTGCTTCTCTAACCCAAAGTCACCAGAGCAGAAATTGTTCCCAATGTGTCATCTCTTATGGGACTTGGCAGCAAGGGAGTGAGTTTGGGGAAGGAGCCCGTTGAAAAGATGGCTGCCATTTGCATTTGAGAGCTGGTTATTCCCAACGACTTACCAGAATCGAAGTTAGCACGCACATGGCAATTAAAATTCCATCCATTGAAGCTGTATTATTTTTCATCATTAAAAAATGCAGATAGGAAACGTTCTTCAACCTAAAGACTTGGGCACCATTCTGGCTGGTGTTCCTGTATTTTGAGTCCGTTGAGGACTCAGTATTTTCTGAAGAAAATATCTTTGTGTTTTCCCCTATGAATGAATTAAACAGGACTGTTAGACATGATCTGGTGGGGGAAGGGCCTCAAACATTGGCAAATGATATTAAAGAACGTCGTGATTATGACTGAGCAGATTAAGACCGTGTCTATACGACAGCAAACATCTGGAGCTTTAAAAACATCTGGGTTTTTGACTGTTATTTCCCAGGTTTTATCTGGTGGTTGGGCATCATGGACAGAAAGGGGGAAAAAGAATTTAATGCTCTTACTGCTGAATTAGACACAATTTTTATATTTAGTTAATCTGCAAATATTAACTAATTATTTAACATAACATTTAATGAAGAAAATTTTTCCACCAGGCCAGTAAATACCGAGAGAAAGATGTAATTAGGTGATTTAAGAAAAAACTTAGCTTGAGGCATGTTTCAATCTTGGTCATAGTTTATCGACAGCAGTTTCCTTGGGCCAAAATCTTTTTAGGTCTTTGGACACTCTTTTTTTTTTTTTTTTTTCTTTTTTCTTTCAGGGAGTCGAGTCTCCATGTATTATGAGGATCTGTGAATTTACAATGTGTTTTGACAATAGTAAAGTTTTGTAAACACTTAATAACATATGAGATACATCTAGTAACAGACATTTTCTTTGCCAAGCGAATGATCTGGCCTGATAAAATCAGTGTAAACCCACTCTCCACCCGGCCTCCTGACATGCCCAAAGCTGAACCCCCAAGAGGAATGGAATGAAAACAGGTCTTTGGGGGCAGCTGGATGGCTCAGTCAGTTAAGCGTCTGCCTCTTGATTTTGGCTCGGGTCGTGATCTCACGGTTTGTGGAATCAAGTCTGGTCAGGCTGTGTCCTGGCAGCGTGGAGCCTGCATGAGATTCTCTTTCTCTTCCTCTCTCTCTTTCTCTCTCTCTGCCCCTCCCCCGCTTGTGCTCGCTCTCTCCCTCTCTCTCAAAATAAATAAATAAACTTAAACAAAAAACCAAACAAGTCCTAAAACAGGTCTTCAAAGACTTGACTGCAATGAAAAGCACCTTATGTGACTGACCTTTTCGGTGATCTCATCTAAAAAAAGTTATGATTATTGAGCATTTCCTCTGTAGCTTATTCTCAATCCAATCAGTTCTAATGAAAATAATCTGCTGGCTTTTTATATTCTCAAGTTTTCGAAATGATTAGCACTTCCTTGAGATAGGCCATTAATTGGACACACAACCCAGATAAAAAGGCTGAAACCCGGGGAGCATATAAAAAAACATAAGGCTGTTGCAATTTAAGTGCCTTCAAAAGATCTAATTTGATTTTTAAAAGCAATTCTGCAGATGTGAAAATTAAAGGCACGCAGAAACAAGATATGTTTTAATGAATGTGTAGGTAAGAAACATTTAGAGGTTTCAGTGGCCTTCCTCTGAATTTTTATTTTTTTTTTAATTTAGCGGTTAGGTTGGAAAGACTGAGCCTGCAACATAATAGAAACTGCTGAATTTTATGGGTTGCTGTTTCTTTATTGAACTGCCCTGTTTTTCTTGCCCACCGTATTTCTGGAACAACTTGGTATTTCCGGGTGCAGATTTTCAATCCTAGTACCCATCAATCAGATTTCAAATTCTAATAAAGTGAAAGGGTCCCTCCATTTGGTTTGTCTTGGCTGCCCCCCCCCCCCCCCCCCCCCCCCCCAGAAAATTGTATGCTGATTCCTATTAAAAAAAAAAAAGGAAGAAGAAAGAAAAGTGGTGGCGGGGGTGAGGGGGAACCTTCTCGTGGCTCTAATGACATCTTCAGTCATTAATGAGTTAATAAAAATCTCAAAGTCATCTGGGGCTAGATAAGGAGGAAGAAAGAGAAGTATTGTACTATAATGACAGGCTCCCTGACTGCCCTCGGAGATGTCATGGGTCAGTCATGTTAAGAATGTGTGCGTCCAATCATCTGCTGATTTTTATCAGCAAGCCTTCCAGCAGGAACTGACAAGGGCCAGTTTGGGAGTCACAATGAATAAACAATGACTTTTTGGATTGTTGGGGGCTGTGTAATAGAGTGAGGGGTTTATAGGTACTCAAACATGGTGACATTAGCAATCAATATACCAATTACTGGACAAGTTATTGGATGAGGCATCCCCGGGTCCTCAGCCTTCCTGCGCTTTGAAGAGGCCTGGGGCAGGCCTCATCTCCTGGGAGCTTGTTGGAAATGCAGATTCTCAGGGCCCTCTCCAAGCTTACCAAAGCAGGAGCTCTGGGCGCGGGGCCTCGGAGGTCTGGGCTCCCAACACGGCCTCTGGGGGACCCTGAGGCACCTTACAGGTTTGGGAATCGAAGTACAACTTCGAGTCAAAGATCCTCACCAGGGCTTATGCTGTCCTCTGTCACCCCTGATGCGCCACATGATGCCTTTGTTACTCAAACGAGTTAAGAGGCAGAAGTGTGCAAATAAATGATTTCCTTAAAAAATTAAATGAAGGTAAATCCTGGCTTATCTCTAGAATTACGTCACTCTCCTACGCTCGCACAGGTTTTCTTGAACGATCTTGATGCATGAGTGACTTTGATTCTAGAAACGGAAGAAGAAACATGGCTTTTGAAATCTATTATTTGCAATAGAGAGGAGGGGCGCCTCGCTGGCTCAGTCGGTTAAGCATCTGACTTCGGCTTAGGTCACGATCTCACAGTTCGTGAGTTCGAGCCCCGTGTTGGGCTCCTTGCTGACAGCTCGGAGCCTGGAGCCTGTTTCGGATTCTGTGTTTCCCTCTCTCTCTGTGCCCCTCCCCCGCTTGCACTCTCCCTCTCTCTCTCTCTCTCTCTCTCTCTCTCTCAAAAATGAATAAATTTTTCTAAATAACATTTAGAAAAATGTTAAAAAAAATAAAATAGAGGGGCGCCTGGGTGGCGCAGTCGGTTAAGCGTCCGACTTCAGCCAGGTCACGATCTCGCGGTCCGTGAGTTCGAGCCCCGCGTCAGGCTCTGGGCTGATGGCTCAGAGCCTGGAGCCTGTTTCCGATTCTGTGTCTCCCTCTCTCTCTGCCCCTCCCCCGTTCATGCTCTGTCTCTCTCTCTGTCCCAAAAGTAAATAAACGTTGAAAAAAAAAAATAAAATAAAATAGAAAGGAGAAGTGACTTTGTGAATAATCCTCATAGGCCAAAAATAATCCGTAAGAAAAAAAAAATCAATGTATGTGGAATATTCACTTACAAATGGAAATAATACTCATCTGGGCATTCAATGCCATTCTCTTATTTTTGAGAGAGAGAGAGAGAGAGAGAGAGAGAGAGCAGGGGAGGGGTAGAGAGAGAGAGAGAATCCCAGGCACCAATGGTGCGGAGCCCGACGTGGGACTCGAACCCGCTAGCCGTGAGATTGTGACCTGAGCCGAAAGCAAGAGTTGGACACTTAACCGGCCGAACCACTCAGACACCCCTGGAGTATTTCTCTTATCTTGGCTGAGAATCTTACAGAAGGGGCAGCCCAGAGCTTGCTGAACTTTCAAAAGAGGTGGGCTAGTCAGCCAGACAGGCAGTAGGTTTAAATATCTTACCCTGAGTATGTTTTACAGAACATTCCGACGTTCGAAACATTAATACAAAAAGAAGTCCGGGTCAAGCGAAAAACTCTAGGTTAAACTGAGTCAAACGGGATGGTTTGCAGCAGAGGCCTCTAACACGTTACCACGCACTGTAATTCTCCAGGACAGCGTTGCTCAATGGATTTGATCGACAAAACCCTTTCGCGAAGGATAATCTTAGAGAATTAGCGTTTCAAGGAGTAAACTTTCGGAAGCATGGATTCAAATGTTTTAAGATGGCAAACACCTGTGGGCACAAGGTAGTTATTCTCTGTGTTGTACAATAATGGACCGCTTTCTTTGTTATGATTTATTAAACCCTCTCTGTCTGACATCAACATTAATTACGCGGTGGCTTAAAGCCAATGAGAAAGTTCACGTAACCATCACCAAAGAGTTAAATAAGTTGTCCAGCTGTTGATGGTCAGGTTAAATTATCCCTGGATTTTTGGCATATCTCCCAGAACAGGTACTAATTTAAAAAGAGAGAGAGAGAGAGACAGAGAGACAGAGAGAGAGAAAAAAAAAATCTGGATTTTACTGGTGAGATTCCATTGCGTTTTTACAAATGAGAGCTAATTCCGTTGCTACTCCCCGTATGCACCCCACAAACTCCACGCGAAAGGAGATGTGAACCTCGCCTGATCCTGGCGAGCCCTTCTGTTCCCCTTGGACAGTATTGCCCTGAGAGTTTCCACCTCCCTGGGCTCCACGTGGCTGTGGCTATGGGTCCACCTTGGTTTCCACACTGGCTCTTCCTGAAGGTGATAGGTGGTTGGGGAAAGAGCACTCACAGAGGTCAGCCCAGTGGAGATCTTAAGCACGTCCTTGGTTGTAAACCTTCCTCTCTTGAAGTTCTTACAGAGCTGCCTGTTCATGCCAAATGTTAATTCTTGCTGGGGACGTAATGTCTAATAAATGTTATGAAAGAATGTCATTTTTCCCGTAGAAGTGAAGGTGCTTTGAAGGGCAGGTTCAGAATAGGATTTCGTTTCCCAAGTAACATCTGCGGGTCACGTGCTGGCCTATAAATTACTTCTTTGATACCCCCCCCCCCCCCCCCCGCCTCGATTGTTACACCAGCCTTGGAAGCAATTCTCACACGGAAGGAAGAATGGGACTTAACCGGCATTTGCAAGATGTGCAAAGATGATAAGTAAACAAACAAAAATCCTAAACGTAAGACAACCCCACCACCCGTGCTAATATTTGTCGTCTTTTTCTTACACGGTCCCGCAAGTCCGCGCAAGACTCGGAACTCATTAGGAGATGTCTCTGAATGAAAAATAATGGGGCGAATTCAGCTTTGGGAGGTCTCAAAGCCCCTATTTTCATCTCCTTTGTAAACATATCCCTGTTGACACCACATGTGTTTCCCAGCTTTGGAGACGCAAAGGCCTTTGCTGGGAGAGGATTCACTCCACACCCTGGCTGGAAAGAGCAGGGGTTCAGCGTAGTTAACTGAGGTTTACCCACCAACTTGTCTGGTTTGTTACGGAGTGGAATATTTCTCCCCTTTCTATTCTTTGAAATGGTTTGAATTAAAATAGCTTACTCAAGGTCACTGGAGGCATATGGTCCTGCTCAAAACTTTAAACAAAACATTAGTTTTTACAACCTTTTGTAATTTGGTATTGTATACAACATGGTTATATGCAGAGATTCTGTAATCTTTTCAGCGGTGACAGAAATATGAGAAGCAAATTTATAAGCCATTTAGTGAAGCATTTAATCAATTTCATGCATAGGAAATAACTCTGATTGCTTTGCTTTATCAATCTTTCTCTCCGGGAGAATTGCAGTCAACGCGATCTCCAGACACTGGCTGGGGGGTGGAGGGGGTGGGCGTGGGGGGGGGCCGGCGCGCGGGGGGGGGGGGGGGGGGGGGGGGGAGTGTGCACAAACCTTTCGATGCACTTGAGATATCAGGGACTTCTGAAGTCTAACAGGGCTGCCACAGCATCTCTGAACCTTCTGGAGGCTGTTAATGTATTTCAGAAAGAAAGTACGGGGTCTAATGTTTAGAAGAAGTTTTTCGAGGACTTTTACTGCAGAGTTACTCATTAAACACCCTTTCTCAGAGTGACTCTCATGCGCCCGGGGTGGCAGACTGTGTCCAGCTTTAGGCTCAAAGAAATGTCCGGTGCTTATTACTTCCAAACACGTGAAAACTAAAACAACTTACACTAAAGCTTACTTCTGAATCAAGGAGTCAAAGTTATGCCCCGAATAACTGAAAAACCCATCACTGTGGTCTCTTACAAGCAGAGATAGCTTAGCATTTTCCAGATTATTTGAATGGTCTTTTAGGGTTCGTGGTGGGATTCTCTTCTGAATTGCTTAAAAGATTAATCCAGCTCTTGGCTACATGGTGGGTTAATGTTTTCTTTTCTGTCATGTGCTTGAATCCCTCTTAGAACACTTTACCCCAAACGCCATCAGGTTCTTAAGTGAAAAAAAAAAATCCTGAGGGAGCAGACGACGATTTTGCAGCAATCACTATCTGCTAAACTATATTAAAGTTGCATCGGCTCTACTTGTCCTCAAAGATTGGAAGTCATATAAAGGTACCGTAGACATAGTTTCTAATTTAGAAAATAATTTGCTTCCACTTATTTCTGAACCTAGAGAAATATTCCAGTGAATACATTCCAATCGAGATTATTTAGTTCTGATTTTAAATCAGCTCCGTGCATGGATCTCATTTCCGGGAAGACAGGTGTTTCACATCCCCTTGTAAATGCGACATGCGCAGGGATGTCTCTGCATTGGCAGGTCAGTGGCGTGCCATTGGTATTTATTTTGCCGTGTTATTGAAGCTGTGGGGACTGCACGATTACATTGGACAGAGTTGCCTTGGTAATCCTGGATGAAATTGGTAGCTCTAAAGGAGATTGGCCAGTGGAGGTTTGCATGTCTATTGTCTATCTATCTATCTACCTATCATCTATCACCTATCTATTTCTATCTATCTATCTATCATCTATCTTTCCATTGCTAGTCAACCCTTAACTCTTGGATTAAACCAGTGCTTCACTGACTTTTTTTTTTTAATTTTTAAAAATTTATTTATTTTGAGAGAGAGAGAGAGGGACAGGATGGGCAGAGAGAGAGGGAGAGAGAGATAATCCCAAGCAGGCTCCGCACTGTCAGCACAAAGCCCGATGTGGGGCTCTATCCCACAAACCACGCGATCATGACCTGAGCTGAAATCTAGCGTTGGACACTTCATCGACTGAGCCCCCCAGGTGTCCCCTCCTTCACTTCAAAAAGGAAAAAAAAAAAGGCATCATTTTAGAGGAAAGATGTCTTTGGCATAAGAGCAGATATTTGGTGGGGGAAAAAAAAGGGCAATTCCTCTGGGCCAAGGTATTTACCATTTTTAAACGAATTTTGAAGCTCAAAGCAATTACCATACACTTACTGTCCTTGTAAATATTAGAGTTTAGAGCTTAAGGCTAACGCTCTCCCTGCCACTACCTGCAACCTGAGTCGTTTTCTCCAGCTTTCTTGACGTGACCCATGTTAGCAAAGGCTTGCTTTTGTCTTTCCAGCCAGAGAAGCCCTAAAGCGTGTGTCATAGTCGGCAATGTCTCATTGTACACTTGCTATTTTCACTCATCAGTGTCTTGGAGGTTTGGGCGTTGTGAGGAGAAAGAGATACACATCGTTCTTTCCAAGTGCTTCAGGAATTTCCCAGGGTACGAATATACCAATGCCCATCAACGCTCATTGAGTTATTCCCATACGCTGCACACATATCCTTCTACTGTGTTACACTGAATATGCTTGGACATACTTCCTTATGTACTCAAGTATTTCCCATATGCCTCCATGCGTAACACTCCTAATGCTCGTATGCTGTCAGTATTTTCTGAGCATGGGCACCTAACGTGGAATTGCTGGGGATGTATATTTTATTTTCTGACCGCTACTGCCAAACTACCTAGCAATTCTAAATGAAAGTCCTCCAGAATCTCCGATTCCACTCAATTCTACTCAAGCCTACATGCCACTTGGTCACTCTCGTTCTTTGTTTAAAAATGTTGCCTTTGGGGTGCCTGGGTGGCTCCGTCGGTTAAGCGTCCGACTTCAGCTCAGGTCACGATCTCGCGGTCCATGAGTTCGAGCCCCGCGTGGGGCTCTGGGCTGATGGCTCAGAGCCTGGAGCCTGTTTCCGATTCTGTGTCTCCCTCTCTCTCTCTGCCCCTCCCCCGTTCATGCTCTGTCTCTCTCTGTCTCAAAAATAAATACAACGTTAAAAAAAATTAAAAAAAGATGTTGCCTTTGCTTCTTCAAGAAGATGGAGACCATCTAAAGAGCCTTCTCACCGAGTTGTCCTCGTGCCAGGGCAAGCTGGGCGGGGCAGCCCGGTCACCTGCCAGATGTCTAGAAATTGGGCTTCTCAGGCCCACTGAGGTGGCCGGCTAGTCAGGGATTGTGCAGCATGGGTCACAGCACCAGACCAAACTGAGCCCACTATGAATCCTTTTCAAATGGGCTCGGAAAGTCAATCACATGTTTCTATTTCAACCATGACATTGATGCCCAAATCAAACAATTGTTTCGGATAATTCATACTTAAGGCGTGCAGGTGTCTAGCGTTTGAGGAGACAGCCTTGCGACAAAGGTGGTGTTTGCTCAGGACTTACAGCCTGGGAGGGACGTTGTTCTGGAACAAGCTGCCAAGAACAACTTTCCTTGTCCCCTTCACTCAGTGAATTTCTGTTCCTCTCTGCAGTACCTCATGCCCATGTTCTCCTCTCCATCTTCATTGTTGCCTCTTCAGACCCTCCCCATCCCCACCAGCTCTTTACTTTTTTTTTATTTTTTTTAATGTTTTCCACGTTTTTATTTATTTTTGAGACAGAGAGAGACAGAGCATGAACGGGGGAGGGTCAGAGAGAGAGAGGGAGACACAGAATCGGAAACAGGCTCCAGGCTCCGAGCCATCAGCCCAGAGCCTGACGCGGGGCTCGAACTCACGGACCGCGAGATCGTGACCTGGCTGAAGTCGGACGCTTAACCGACGGCGCCGCCCAGGCGCCCCCCCACCAGCTCTTTAAACAATATGGTAGGTCTGTATTTACCCCAGCACACCCTCCTTTTTTCCATGCATTGCATCCGTTAAATCCATGAAACACAAATCTAGTTCAGATTAGTTCTTGTTTACAATATTTTCTTTTCTTTATATATTTTTTAATGTTTATTTATTTTTGAGGGGGGGAGGGGCAGAGAGAGAGGGAGGCACAGAATCCGAAGCGGGCTCCAGGCTCTGAGCCGTCAGCACAGAGCCCGTTGCGGGGCTCGAACTCAGGAAAGGCGAGATCGTGACCTAGGCTGAAGTGGGACGATTAGCTGACTGAGCCACCCAGGCACCCTTACAATATTTGCTTATTATTCAGACTCCTTATTCTACTGCTCAAGGTCCTCCATGATTTGTCCCCAGATCAGTCTTTTAAAACGTATTTTCTCCTCCTTTCTCTGTCTTCAGCTTAGCAAAACAGAATGATCATGATTCCTTCAACCTTGCTCCCTTCCTGCTCTTCCCCTGACCTGGAATGCCATTCCCTGAACTCCAGAGGAGACCTTGTCCTCAAAGTGGGGGACTCGATGTGGCTTGTGCCATCTTCCTCATGTGCCACCAAAACCAGTGTCACCATTATCTGGGGGGACAGCCACAGGTATTAGACAAGGAAGGGAAAACAGAAATTGGATGTTGGGTTAGTGCTACGTAAAGTGGCTGGACTGAGTATAATCTCAACAAAGGTTAAGCAGATTCTAAGTGATGGATGGCAATGTTTTCTCTCTCTCTTTCTCTCTCTCTCTCTTTTTTTAAGTTCATTTATTTTGAGAGAGAGGGCAGAGCCCAACGCGGGGCTCCAGACCACGAGCTGTGAGATCGTGACCTGAGCCGAAATTAAGAGTCGGACGGTCAACTGACTGAGCCGCCCGGGTGCCCCTATGTGTTTTCAATTCTACAGGCTACTGCAGAAAGTGAGAATGTAATGAAATTACAGCTGTATGAAAATGTTAGGCTACAGCAAGTTTCTATTCGGTGTTACCCTAGTGCAAGCATCTCATCAGGAAATGGGCTCCTATGTAACGCAGTGAAGCTTACCCAATGCGTATGAATAACATGTTTAGTCTATATTATGTATAGTAATTCACGGACGAAAATGATACTTTGGGGTCGCTTAGTAGAACATATACTTTCGGTTGATTTTTAAGGTAAAGAGCATTGATTTTATATCATTTTCTTCATACTTTTCTTCCTGTTCCCCCCCATCTAACTAATGGTATATATACTTAGGAGTAGCCTAATGGAAGTTAGCAACGTAAATCCTGGCCACAGACCAACTTTTCTTTTCTTTAAAGATAATTGGCAATTAGTGGGATTGGGTCTCTAAAAACTAGCTGTTGAAACTTATTTCTAATAATGAAAAATTAGAAGCCAACTGTATGTCCAAGAGTAGTAGACTGGTGACATACACATAGCAGATCAATACTGAACTTGCTGTGAAGGCTGTAACAATATTGAAAACTCTTTTGGACATACCCTTAAGGAAAGTGAAATGGCAAACCCATATGGGAACCTAACTCTAGATGCAGATGGCCCATGAACTTGCCAGCGTGGTAGAATTGCAAGTAATTTTATTTCTTTAACAATTTATTTTCTATAATGAAATACTGAGTGGATATCAAAATCCAAGCATTGCACCAGTTGTATTGCTCCCAGCTGAGTGGGGCCCCCCTGGGCTGGAGGAAGAAGATTCCTTCCTCTGTTATCCCAGAATGGCGGCGGGAGGGCTTTCTCCTAAGTAGGGCAGAGGACGCGTTGCCCTTACAAACAAGGAGAAACTGTACGAATTCTCCTTAAGGAGACTGGTTTAAACAAACACTTGTAAGAGGAACCTGATGCTTCAGCACAAGGGTAGGATTCGTCATATCTTCCCCAGCTACTATAAACACACCCTTGTCTCCTGATCTTGATGGATTGATTATCTTGTGGGGTGGGGGGCAAAGAAAACTAGCAGATGGGATTGCCAGGGTGCCTGACTAGTCTTCAAGGAACTGTAGAAAATGGGAGATTTACTGGAAATTGAGAGATCTGCAAGTGGTGATTTACTTTCCAAAATATTTCACAGGTGACTTTGGGAAATGCTTGAAACACTCGATAGCCCATGAATTAGATGCGGAGTTTCAACAGGATTTAGGAGCAAATCTTAATTGGATGTTCGGTAATTTTTTTATCAGAGGGTGATGGGGATTTAGAACGTCAGGCTGGGAAGGGAGTTGGGGATAGAAGCAGAGATCATGTGGGTCCCACATGGGTTCACTGAGAACACTCTATGTCAAGCTGACTTATTTTTTCTGATAAGGTGAATACATAGCAGGCGAGGGATGTTATAGACCAGTACTCTTCAAACTGTGATGTGTAGGGGCACCTGGGTGGCTCAGTTAGTTAAGCGTCTGACTTCGGCTCAGGTCATGACCTCGAAGTTCATGAGTTCGAGCCCCGCATCGGGCTGTGTTGACAACAGAGAGCCCGCTTTGGATTTTCTGTCTCCCTCCCCTTCTGCCTCTCTCTCTCTCTCTCTCTTAAAATAAATAAATCGACTTAAAAAAAACCTGTAATGTGTAGAGGAAGTCGCTTAAGGATTTTGGTAAGATGCATATTCTGAATCAGAATGCCCAAGATTCCTCATTCCTAAAAGGCTGCTGGCCCAGGGACCATACTCTGAGTAGCAAGGCTCTAGACCGTGGGCTCCAAATATGGCTTCTTAAAAACCAGATTCCTATGCTATAGGTCCAAAGTTGCTAATTCATTAAGCACAAGACTGCAATTTTTCAATTATGATGTTCTCTCCTAAGAAACAACAGCTTTCGACACTGCCTAGCAAGTTACAATATCGTTATAGCTTTGATTACAGCCAATTAGGTATATTTCTAACTGGTTAGGCTATTACTCAATCTTTGATGAAATGAATTACGTCTACCTCTGTACAACTTCTTTCTCTTGTACGTACTTCTTTTACTGCATAATTCATCTTTTAGTTTTGAGCGATTCAGCTTCTCCTATACATGCCCTCCTTCTTGCCGACCCTTAATGGACTTTGTATGCCGTTACTTCTCTCTGAACCGAGTCGGGCATTGACTTGTGCTGTGTCTCTGAGCTTCAGGCGCTCATGTGGCCAATGGCCATGATAATACTTTCTCTATCTACTTTGACGAGGACCAAATCAGAAGAAGCCTGAAAGAGTATCCAGAGCTTGACGTTACAAATCAGGAATCTTGGGTTGTAGGCTGTTCTCTGTCAGATCTGATGTGACCTCAGGCAGCCACCTGACTTTGTGTCACCCATAGTGAGAAGGTTGTAAAAGTATGAAGTGCTAAAAAACCGTGTTTTTTTTTTTATTATTCGTGGTCGGAAAATATATTTTTTTAATTGGCAAAATTAACACGCCGAATTAATTGAGCAGCGTTGAATTAATATCATTAATATTTCCGTGACTTCTCTCCATTGGCTGTGTTTTTTGGTGAATGCCTACAAGAGGAATCCAATAGATAAGCATCGTTTTCGCCTGACACATAGGCTAGATTCCCCCTATGCAAGATTCTAGCTGGGGACCGTATTTTTTGGCCCAAGTTGCCACCATGGTATGTAGAGATCACTCTCTTTCATGTTGTAAGCCCACTGTGACAGCACAGTGCCGATGGCACCCTCCATTTGTGCTTGACCTAGAGTTCCCGTTTTCAATCCCTCTTTGGCTTTGGCCAGAAAAAGAAGTCAATGATTATGTGTTAATTTCGCTGCCTCTAGGGCCACCTTCTCCCACTGGTCTGTGAAATCAACATTCCTGTGATGGTATCTCATTTATAACATTCTTTGCCTAAACATCAGTGGATTTCAGAGAGAAGAAACACAGACAACTAATTTTTTAAATTAAAAAATAAAGTTTCTTTTCTTTTCTTTTTTTTTTAGGGTGAGTCTCTCTAGCTGAAGACATCTACTGAAGAGAGTCCAGCTAATTACATGCAAGGATTAACTTCTCAAGTACCCAGAAAAAGGTCAGTTGGAAACGGTAAAGGCCTGAAAGATAGGATGGGTTAAGAGGATGGGCTCCAATGGCCTGGGCTCTTATTCTAACTTTTTTGCTGGGTGATGGTACATAAGTTAGCTTACCTCTCTGGGCCTTCTTGCTGGGTGATGTTAGGTGAGTTAGCTTGCCTCTCTGGGTTTCTGCTTTCTTCTCTGTACAGTGAGGATTAAAGGAGGCAATCAATTCTATTAGAATCTATACTGATAGGAGCAGAAATATTTGTTTTGTTCCCCAGTGTACTCCAAGTGCCCAGAGAGGTTCTCGGCACATAGTAGGTGTTGGATGTTTACTGAATGACTAGCTTCCTTCCAGAGTGACGGAAAATACGTAAGCCTTTTTCTGAGTTCCCTTCTCAACTTTCTTCACATTCTCTCAAAGTGATGCTTCGTCGGAATATTCTTATTGTTCTCTAACAGTCAAATGGCCCCAGTATTTTGTTTACCGTGCCAGACCAACACTAGTGGCATAGTTAAAAGTCTAAACATTCCGTGGACTTTCACATCCTCCAAAATGTTTATTGATTCAAAGAAAGTAGATGCAAATATTTGAAGCTTCAACCAAGTTTAGGCTTCTTCTTTTTTTTTTATTTTACTGTTTACAAAACAAGGTATTTTATGGATCTAATTTATACATCGAATAGAAGAGGGCTATTCCCAATATTATCTTTATCTTCTAGACATAAATAACAAACAACTCCAGTAATCAAAATTTACTACAATTGTAATAGATTTTGGCAGAGTTTATGGATTGCATACCCTGTTAACATAACGCCGACTTCCAAGGATAGAGGCCAGGATTTTTAGTTTGGCTTTGTTAAGTGGAAAAAAAAATCTACTACTGTATTTGTAGCTTTTACTACATTCAAGAGATTAATTTTCATAAATAAAATAGTTTATACCGGCTTCTAATCAGAAAGTTGAAATTATCTGAGGCAATGGAACCACTCAAAACTTGTATACTATGAAAATATTTCAATAATTAATGCATGCTTCATCTAGAGTAATTGACAGGAGGTCATAAACGTAATGGGCCATCTGTGTTTGATTTGTACGTGAAAATGCTTAAAGGGATAGGCAGGTAATTCAAGCTTCTCTGGCAAGGAAGATTTGTTCCAACTCCTCCAAGAAACAGAGCCATTTACTAGGGGGGATTTGCTTTCTTCTTTCTTAAAGTCTTTTCCAGATTTCTGCTGGAGCTACACACTTCTCCTTGCTACTCATTCTCATGCAAGCATCTCCTTTAGAGCCGGTATATGTGGATCACAGCCATCCTTGACAATTCTACTTGGTTGTCCTGGCCTTTTCGATAGGAACTTGAAAGCCATATGCCTGATTAAAAAAAAACTATACCAGAGGCTCCCTCCAATGCTGTGACTTTACCACTGATTTCGCTCAATCTGACCACTTCCAAAATTTATTTCGCAATTTTTCCTCTTCCGTCAGTTAACAAACCACCTTGCTTATATTTGTAAACAAAGAGGAATAGGGCCGCTGGGAACCTTAGCAGCATTTTTGTAATTTAGTCCTTCGGGGGTGGACCAGAATCACAATATTTCAAGGTGTAAAATGGTCTCGGTGAACATCACAGGAGGTTCTAGAATTCTCTGCGCAAGGACACCAAAGAGCGTTGAATAGTTGCCTAGAAGGCTGTCCTGAGATCCAGACCCGCAAGTTCATCCAAGAGCACCTATTCGGCTGGCATTTACTGAGCATTTAGCATCTGCCACGTGTTGTGCTAAGTAAGCAATGATTATGCTGAAAGCCACGTTGTTTGATGGGTTGAACTAAACCAACAAGGTCCCTGCCTCATGGATCTTACACTCTAGGAAGTGCAACTTTTTCCCTAGACATCTTATAGACACCACGAACGCCATGCTCGAAACCTAAATGTGCCATCTCCCCTAATTACCTCCCTTCTAAAAATCTGTTTCTCCTCCCGTATGCCCCAGTTTGGGAAAATGTGCCACCCAGTTGTTCCAGGCAAAAACCCAGGATTATCCTAGGCTCTTCTTCATCTCTCCTCTTCACCAGAGCAACCCACAAGCTCTGTCCGTGCTAACGACCTACCGCTGCTTGACGCTGCTTCCTTTTTTCCATCCCTAATGGTAACACCCTTCATTAGGTTCTTTAAAAAAAACTTAAAAAAAAAAATTTACTTATTTACTTTGAGACAGAGAGAAAACAAGCAGGGCAGGGGCCGAGAGAGAGGGAGGTGAGGATCCCAAGCAGTCTCCGTGCTGTCAGTGCAGAGCCTGATGCAGGGCTGGAACTCAACGGGCCGGGCCAAGAGATCATGAACTGAGCTGGTATCGAGTCGGACGCTTAACTGATGGAGGCACCCAGGCGCCCCACCCCCATCTTCATTCATACATATACATATGTATGTATATATTTGTCTGGAGTATTGCACCAACCTCCAGTAATGCTTTCTTACCAATCTAGTTTTCATACTGTTGTCAGAATGGTATAGTCAACATACAATGCTAACATCATTCTGGCATTTCCTTGTAAAAGGTCCTTCCTGGGATGCCTGGGTGGCTCAGTCAGTAAAGCACCGACTTTGGCTCAGGGAATGATCTTGCAGTTCGTGAGTTCGAGCCCCATGACGTGCTCTGTGCCTAAAGCTCAGAGCCTGGAGCCTGCTTCGGATTCTGTGTCTCCTTCTCTCTCTGCCCCTCCCCTTCTCTCTCTCTCTTTCAAAGATAAATATTAACCTTTAAAAAAAAGTTTATCCTAAAAGGCCCTTGCTGCAAGAGTACTACAGTTGCCTTGGAGACGAAACCCAAACTTTTTAACATGGCCAAAGGACGACTCTTGCAAATGTGGGCTGGGCCAGATTCTCCAGGGCCACCTCTTGCCACATATCCTGCTCTGTAGTCACATGGAAGCGTGTCCCCTGACCACATGATGGGACGTTACTACCTTTGAACATATAGCTCCCTCTCCCTGGAATCCTTGTGTGTTCACCCATTGGCTAAATAAAAATTAAAAAAAAATCCCCAAAAACGTGAGGAAGATAGAGTATCTGGATGTTGAACTGAAAGTTTGTTTTTTCAGATACATTTTTGGTTTTGAGCAGCCACAATCCCTCTCTTTCTCTCCTGTAGAAGTCAACAAAATACCAGCTATCTTGATTTTTTTTTTTATATTAGAAAGTGAGAGAGAGAAAGATGACGAGCCGGGGAGAGGGGCAGAGAGAAAGAGTGAATCTTAAGCAGGCTCTGCGCTCAGTGTGGAGCTCGACGCAGGGCTCAGTCCCACGACCCTGGCTGGGATGGTGACCTGGGCCCAAATCGGGAGTCGGACGCTCGACCGGCTGAGCCAGCCAGGCGCCCCATCCTTCTGATTTTTAATCAGAAAATATACATATAAAATATAAATTCAATAAAAAATCTAAATGCGGATCTTTACTATTTCCTGAACACGTGTTCATTTTCATTGATATATAAAGTGCACGTTCGGAATGGTAACGAAAATGAGAACTTTAAAACCTGTTAATGAGCACGGTTAACTATATATTGAAGCATAGGGGTAGTTTGCAAAGGAGAACTCCAGTTATACCAGGAAGAAAATGCAGCAGGCGGGCAAGGAACCTGCATGTGTGATTGTTTCCAACACCGCTAAGGGCACTCAGCGTCCTGTGCTGTGTCGGATGCCCCTGGAAGGGGACACAGGAGCGTGATGTGGGTCAATCTTTGTTCCTCTTCTTGCACTGAGCTTATGCGGCTGATTTTGCCTTTAATGGGTAGGACTAGTTGTTCTTAACTCCATGCCGATGATCTGAAGAATTTTAATGTATTTTTTCTATGTATTCAAACACTAACCCCCCCGCCCCCCCGCAATATTAAACAGCCCCCGACTTTGCCACCCAGATGCGTAGAGTTCAAAGCAAATAACAGTGACAGGCCAGAGGCAACTCTGCCATCTCTCAGACAAACGCACAGCCTGATGAGACAGAAGATTAAAAGCTTAAGTGGGGACAGTTTGAGCTGGTTGAGATAGGTGCAGCTGTGTTTTCCACCAGAATCTAGGTTCTTCTATTGTTTTTGGTATTAGGAAAGCCATGCATACTTGTTACAGAGAAAACTTAGAATATGTAAAGAGCAAAACTAAGAACATCCTTAAAATGAGTTTTCCTTTCCATTACAAATAGGCTGTTGTGGGGACGCCTGGGTGGCTCAGTCGGTTGAGCGTCCAACTTTGGCTCAGGTCATGAGCTCGCGGTTTGTGAGTTCCAGCCCCGCGTCGGGCTCTGTGCTGACAGCTCGGAGCCTGGAGCCTGTTTCCGATTCTGTGTCTCCCTCTCTCTCTGCCCCTTCCCCACTCATGCTCTGTCTCTCTCTCCTTCAAAAATAAATAAACATTAAAAAAAAACAAAACAAAACAAATCAGCTGTTGTGATCCCATTCGTATATATCCTTTCAGTACATAAAATCGCATCCTGTCCTACATACACAGATTTATTTATTTGGTATTATTTTTATGGCTTCAAACGATTCCATTTTCTGGATTTACTAATGTGTATTTAACAATTCACTTTTATTAAGCATTCCGGTCATTTCCTGTTTAAAATTATTTTTTAAGTTTATTAATTGTTGAGAGAGAGACAGAGAGAGTGAACAGAGGTGGGACAGAAAGAGAGGGAGAGAGAGAATCCCAAGCAGGCTCCGCACAGTCAGTATGGAGCCTGATGTGAGGCTCGAACTCACGAACCGTGAGATCATGACCTGAGCCAAAACCAAGAGTTGGACACTTAGCTGACTGAGCCACCCAGGTGCCGCAACATTCAGGTCGTTTCTCCCTGTCAACATATTGCTCTAAAATGTATGCAGTAAGACATCTTGATTGGTATAATCATCTCAAGAGGTTGATGTACTTGACTAAGAAACTATTGTTTGTTGAGAAGGCATATTGTGTGCTACAAATCAGTTCATGTATCTTTTTTAAAAAAATTGGGGCCTATAGAAGA